GTTTCCATAGATTTTATTAAAATATATAGGTATCTTGGGTACAAGTTTTTTCTTACGGTACAAATTTCAAGTCAAAAATTTTCTATAAACTGGTATACTTGTTCAGTTTTCTCCTGCTCATCGTCACTCTTTCAGACACGTTTTTCAGATAGTCTCAGATCGATCTTTTGGACTGATTGTACAACTGTTGTATTTTCATAATGAATCAACGTTCAAAGCCGAGACACTCTTCATTTTGTAGAGAAATGTTTAATCTACTTATTTGCAATTTTAGATTAGTTCGTAGCTTTATTGAAATAACTTTTTGAAAATGAGCGAAACAAGGGGACCGTTAGCTGGACAAGCCTTATTGTTTTTTCTTTCTGCGATGCAACAAGGAAAACGAATGTGGTTTAGTAAATGACGCGTATGGATGAAAACGTGTGTAATAACAGATTGTTCGACGGAACGTCAGAGATACAGTTTGCGATGTTCGTTGTTCTTTTGTCTGACTCTTCTACAAAGATTACAGTTCAAAACACAACCACACAGAGAACAGATGCCCCAACGGCAAACATGATGATTGTGCTAAGATTCGCTCCCAAGGTGTCTTAATCAATCTTAAAATAGGTAAAAGATAATATAAGAAACGGTCCAGTTAAGGGTTGACATAAATAGTTAGAAACATTATTAGTGAACAAAAGCATACACGATAATCTTTCATGAGTGTCAGAAGAACATAAATGTATGTTAAAGAACAAAGGAAGCCTATAGAAGTTTTATATTGATTTTGGATTTCTTTTGGGATTCGAATCGAAACTAACTGGAAATTTCAGATAGTTTTGGGTGTTGAATAATTTTCGTTGACCACGCTCGTATAGATTCGGGAAACAAATGTGAAACTATTAAAAGTTTAGAAACACTACCTTCAAGAAGTAAAGCGATAGAAGTTTAAGCGGTTTTCTTGACTTAACATTTTTATCATTTAGACAGTAAATGATCGATAGTAAAATTATATAGATCTATTGAGACTTTTATGCGCTCCGTTCAAGTAAAAGAGGTATCGGCAATTTTCATTTTTAAATTTTGCTTTTACACATAGAGACCAAGAAAAATTTGTTAAATTGAAATTGTTTAAACATTTACCGCTCGGAAGAGCGTCAAAAACTGCACAGAATAGGCATGTTTGTGTTTTAAAAATTAAAATGAAGAAATATTTATTCAAAATTTAAAATAAAAAATGGTGCGAATTTTGACATTTTAAAATTAATGATATTAAAATCAAACAAAATGCTAAAATCTTTTATTAATGTCCTTTTTTGTAGAGCACAATTTAATCTGCAAAATCAACTCTTTCTGAATACAAAAGTCAAGCATATCAGTTAAAAGCGAGAGAAACTGTAATTCGTATTGTATACAATTCAAACTGGATAAAATTCAATTGGTTTGAATTAATTTATCAAGTTAAATTAATTTGAATTTATTTTTAATCAGCAAAAAATAAATGCACACGAATTTAATATGAGACTTTTTTAAATTAGTTTGCATTAATTTCTAGTTATTTCCAAAAGATCCAATGATAAGTTTATATATAAATGACAATACGACCTGCCCAGTTAACGGTCAACCTGCATCATTTATAATCATTTATACTGAACCTATGGCATGAAACGAACTGCCAGCAAATGGACTTTATTCTAGACTGATTACTAACGTAAGGCTTCATCTTTTTTCCTAGTGTAAATCGGCCGTCTGAAAAACTTCATCAAACGAAGGATGAGTGCGTTACCATTTCGCTCGTTTTTTGAATTTTTGCGCCCTAGTGTGTGGGATATTTTCAGAGAGAATTATTGATCTATCGCTAACTTTTGACGGGCTATCGGATGTACGTCTTAGAATTTCTTTAATTCGTTCCTTTTAAGTAATAAATGTTAACGCACTATATGAGCCTTTCCCCATCAAACAGTTAATTAGGCTTTTGACCATGACGTTTGTGTCCGTTTAGGCTCTATCTTGGCACGTATACGTAGCTCGATGTTCTCTACAAATTGGCTGTAGGTTTTCAGAAGTGTGGTATTTCTGGACTTTAGGTTTCCAGGGGTTTATAAAAAACTTCGCCAAAAAATTGATTTTTACGCGGCATTTTTGATCCTTTTACTTATGGAGCACATGAAATGATATCGCTCGCGTAAATCTGAAGTATAGTGGAATGTTTCTGGCTTTAACGTTTTAAGATTCAGCTATGTACGCCACCTGTGGACAGGCGAATAACCTCTTTTTTACTTTAACGCTTCCTTACCAAAGAAGCTTCTAGTTTACCAGAAATGAAACATTGAGGGCAGCTCTTACTACGAAAAATGATCGATCAGTTCCATCAATTACAAAAAACGTGATACTAACAACAAAATAATCTGTCATCTCGAAGAGATTCACTAGTGTTCTGAAAAATACCCGCCCTTCCATCCTGATCGATACGAGAACTAAAGATACTGAAGAATTTCAACGGCCATGGGTGAAAAATCAGAATAAACATTAAAGTTAAAAAATATTTACTATTACAAAAAGAGAGTAATTGTAATTATCCATAAACTTCCTATATCAGAAAGTTATTACCATTTTTTCTTTCTGAAATGCGGGATGTGAAACGAATGTCATTTAGTAAAAAGGCGTATATGAGTCTAAATCTGTTTTTCAAACACTATAAGTAAGATCGTTATATTTCGTTTTTTCTGCGTCATTTAGTTCCATCTCGATTTCTTATGCATGAAACCTCTCAGCCCAAAACCACTGCGTAAGAAAACACCTGAATTTCACACACTAAAAAATAATGTGTTGCATGTGTTGCAAATTGAGGCATAATCATCTGCGACACCGGGAGCCACTTGTGACACATTTCGCTGAGTATTTCTACTATTAAGAAAACAGTGGAAATTAGGTATTTTGGATCTCTTAATCGATTTTAAGAATATTTTTAGTTCGTTTTGGGTGCACTACGTAATGTCGGCGAGTTCAATCCGCCCGTAATATTCGCAGGCATTCAAAATATTCTGGTTCCCAGATCTGAAATTAATAGCGTGGCCAATGACTCGGATTAGTTGGTTTTCGTCAGAGAAAAAGTCTTTAACACAGAAAAGCGGTTAAAAAGACTTAGACAGGGATCTTTACCCATTACTAACATTAATGCAAAATTGAAAGAACTTAAAAAGCTCGAAAATTTATCTTTTACGTATTAGCGTCACCTACAGCTCATCAAAATCGAAGAGAAGCCAAGAAAAATCCTAATGAAGGCTATTGAAAATAGCAAAACATAGAATTTAGCAAGTTTTTTACCAGAATAGATCGTCAAACGGTCTCAAGTATTGTGTCTAAAAGTTCTTAGTAACGGCGACACATTCTTTCGCGACACAATTTTCCCACAGGAGCTGCGATACCTTTTATTGCAACACAATACTTTTTACTGTGCATAAAACTGCTTACTGACGCTCTCTAATTCAACTGACGTTCAGAGCATGTGATTCGCTTCTCGTTTAAAAAAACTTAATTGCTACGCATCCTTTCGGTGTAAAGACAGGTGGACTATAGTGACCTTTTGCCTCCATGTTCAATTGGATACATTCTTGATTTGTGCAAAATTGTAACGACTTCCATATTGGACAAAATATTGAACCCATGCATCGCTCAAAGTTTAAGTAAACTGCTTAATGATTTTGAGCACTAGGATATGATTTCATCTGGAGTAGATCCAAGGTAACAAAGCTTTTTCTATAAATAATATTCGAATAATATTATCTTTACCTTCTCCCTTTTGGTACATTCAGGAGTATTTCAAAATTAGTGAATTTTTTCAATTTTTTGGCAAAGAAAATGCGGTTTTCAAATACTTTATCTACCTGGAATGGGTATATCTGTGTGTGTCCGTAAACACTATGTTACAGAAGGACTGATGACGATGTTTTACCTCTAAAACACCATGAAGCGTTTGGTTCATGAGCAAGCATATAAGAATTCACTTATCACACCTTGAATGAATAAACATTCTTATCGTGCATCAAATACAAAAGAAACATGCTTTATTGACCATGGCCACTTTCTTCGACTTGCCTACGTGTGTATCAAACGAATAATTCTGCAAGAATGATGAAAGTGCTTTTTATATTGCTGATCGCTTTTGGTCTGTATATTGGAGAAAGTTTTCAGACACCTTTGGACGATTATGTTCGCGCACCCGATTCACATTTTGCATGGAAAGTTATTCGAACATATGAACAATTAGAGTATACATTGTACATTGTTAATTTTACTTCTCAACAATGGTTAGACGGTAAGTTGGTCGTCGTTCTCCATTGGCATACTAATACTACTACTCGTGTGTATTATCAGAAACGTTTTCGTCACGTCCAATTTGGTGGCATTATCTATGCATAAGTGTTCCAGCTAAAATTACACGACCAGATTCAGCATTTTTATTGATTGATGGTGGCGGTAATGGTGACGAGTAAATAACAAGGAAATTGATATCGCCCTCCTTCACACTAACTTTCTTCATCCTCTTGCATAGTATCCCAAAACCAGAAGATAATTTTGTGGCCTTGACATCAATGTTTGCAGTGAGTGCTGGAAGTATTGGTATCGATTTACAACAAATACCGAACCAACCGATAAGATTTATGGTAACTTTTTGTTTATAATAGACTTAATAGCAGATTGAAGTGATAGTACATTAGTTATGAAAAGTGTCTTATCCAGTTCTTAACCGAAACGTGTTCGAGATATCTGTGAACTATCAACGATTTCTAACCATATTTGTATAATTCTGTCTACTTGCTCTTTAGGCGGATCCTACGAACAGAAGTCGAAATGAAGATGCTATCATAGCCTGGACGTGGAAAACTTTCCTGGATGATCCAACTAATCCATACGTCTTATTACGAATGCCAATGACAAAGGCAACTATTATCATCATAAATAGTCAGTGTGATGTCAACTGTATTTTTTATGTGAATTAGGCTGCTGTTCGTGCGATGGATGCAGTACAAGAGTTCGCTACAAAATTGTCTTTACCAGTTCCGAAAAAATTTGTTGTTGGTGGTGCTTCGAAGGTATGTGAGCCACGACTGTTTAACGCCATATTCATTGACTTCTTTTCTTATAGCGCGGATGGACAAGTAAGTTCATCTACTCTTGATATCAAAACTTTGATTTGATCGGTGATGCGTCTTCTGTTAGCATGGACAACAGCGGCTGTTGACACTGAAAGAGTTGTAGGAGCAATACCGATCGTTTTAGACATTTTGAACTTGCAAGCAAACTTACATCATCATTATCGAGTATGAATATGTGACATGTTTATTCTAAAGAAGTTTGCTTTATTCTTCTTCGCTAGTCACTTGCCGGTTGGACATTTGCATTTGCAGATTACTACCAATTAAATATAACAAAATTGACTGATAGTCCAAATCTCAAAGCTATGGGAGCTATAGTTGATCCGTATAGTAAGTATGTGTGTGAGCTGGTGAAGCTCTAATTGCCTTTTGCATTACTTCGCATAGGTTATCTGGAACGATATCGAAATACCAAATTGCTACAAATTCAATCAGCAGGTGATGAATTTTTTCTACCAGACAATGAGGTAATATGTGACAGAAATACGCTTCTATGATTGTTGACTTGAACTGATATATCAATAGCTATTGTTTTGGAACGACTTACAAAGCGCCACCGGAGGAACAAACTTATTAAGGTATCTTGTTATAAAATGCCTATATTATACCTACTCTTGTTTACCTCTCTTCGTTTGTTTCAGACGCTTACCCAACGCAGAACATAGTTGTGTCGGACATGAGATTAGTCTGTTTTTTACAATGAGAAGTTTTTATATGAGTATTTACGATGTAAGCACTTAACAAACTTGAATGATATAAAAGGTATTAAAAGTGAAACTGCTTATTTGCTAGAAACAAAATCTTCCTAATTTCCACTGGATAAAATCAACAAATAACACTCATGGCACAATAGTAGCGACAGTGGATTACAGTAATGGTCCTAAACCAATTAGTGCAATTGGCTACAAAGCAAGAACATTAAATGCTAAAAGGTACAACGAATAGCTTGTCATTCATTACTTATGCGCGCTTCTGATATTTAGACGTGATTTTCGTTTGGTTATTGGTGATCCAAATCATCCCGGTAAAGCTATCGTCAATCCAGTATTTTGGCTGACCCAAGCTATTGGTCAACAAGTTAGTATTCTTTGAAAACTGGATTTGTTTTAATGTGCTTCGTGTAGTTCTTTTTACAATCGACATGATTCTTTTTATCAATCTTTCATAAAAACTAGTTTTCGTTATTATAGGTAGTTAACTCCACAAAGACTGTTTACACATTAACAATAGCAAACCCATTGGAAGGTTGGGAAGGTTTCTTCATCCAAGTGAATTTTCCGGGTCCACAAGGTACCGCATTAGAATTGACAACCGAAACGCTTATTATTCCTGACACGTATCCAACAGATGATTGTTCCGGAGATGGATGTTATGGTACACTTGTGTGAGAAAAACACAATATTAAACTAATTATATGAAAACAGAACAAATATCCTTAGAAGGAACATTGTAGTGTTTCATGTTACTCTACTTGTACTACACACGCGCTTAGTCGATCTCGTCTTTTTTTGTTATCAGCTTTTCATCAGTTTTACAGATTCTGTTTGTTTTGTTGTGCTACCAAGCACGAATCATTCTGTTTTGAATTGGCTGAGTATGGATCATAGTGATGATAATCTTTTGGCTCATACATGTTTCGACTGATATAATTACAGCGATATGACTATTATGCGAACTGATATTGTGCAAAGCTAACACTTTTTACTCAGACTGTTTGTAGAATGAGCGCCATCGCTACATTCCGGCAAAAAGAAAAGCATCTAAATCCATGAAAGATCTGAAGTTAGTAGCTATCACGCTTTTCGAAATTCACGGGATGACGGATGGTGTGCCGATAATGTTATATTTTGATGACAGTTGAACGCTAGACTTGCTATGAATTGTTTCTGAGCCTGCCTAATTTAAAATATGAAAATACCAAAAATGTGAATAGGAGATTCGATAGAAAATTTTCGGAGGCGACGAATGAATTTTTGAAATTAGGCTGAGGCAAGGCTATGAAAATTTCTTCCACCTTAGGCGGCGGCTTGTAAAAATTGGTTTTCGGGGGCGAATCTCCAAATTTAAATAAAACAACGTTCTCTTTCGTTTCTGGTACGTTCTGCGTGCACCAACGATGTCTGTACGTTGTCGTATGCGAAAAGATAGAAAAGCGAGTTGTTGAACTTCGACACACTGAAAATAGGAAAATATTTGCCTAGATTCAAAAATACATTCCATAAGAATTTTGAAAAGATCAGAAGATTCACCGGGAAATTCTGTATCTTCTCACTGTGCAGTTAAGTGTTCTCGGAAAATTTCTCTGTGTATAAAACTGATAAATTTTAATTTCGTAATTGAAACCATTAATTAGAAAAATTAATTAAATGTCAAAGAACTGAAAATTCAATTGAGAGCTGATTATGAGTCCAGTTGGCATAGCCGGAACATTGTACGAAGTTGTAAATAGATGACACCGATAGAGCACAAAATTGCTATCTTTCTACTCAGAAAAATAAGTTATTGAACATCAGACAACGGGCTAAAAATCTTAAAAAAGGAGACGACAAAAGCAGGTCACAGTTTGACAACTCAGCACCCTTTAATATTTTGAATTCAAACAAAAAAGATACTATCAGAGATTCAAATAGCAGAGATTGTTTTCGCAGAGAAGTCAATTCTCTATCGATTGAGCTTAGAACGAACTCTTTGGACCACTCGACAGTGCCCCCAAAACAAGGAATAAAAGTGTCTGAATTAAAAAAAAATTCTGTGCTCTCGACGACGGCAAAAGTTTTAACAGCATGGCGGCGGCGATAAACGACCAGTTTATCTTCACAGCATCTGATTCCAACTATGACAAAAGATGGTGTTCCATCATTTGTTTATGCCGACAAAATACCAAAAAATAGTCATGTTTATGTTCAGTCTCCGATAAATAATGAAGTAATGTCTGCGAAAGTTAAAAGTATAGCAAAAGAAGTAAAAATGAACTATTATTTATCAATCACAACAGAGAGTATGTAGAAATACTCATGAATTCGTTTACCGATGGAAATACTTGACTTTCTTCTTCAGAGGCACAAATAATTGTTAATAACATAAGTTTCTTCGTATTCTTCTGTTCTTCTCTCTAATGTTTCTAAAAAATATCTTTCTCAGGCAGTAGCATCTGTTTATGTATCTAGCAATAATCATTATTTGGCTCATGATAGTATTGCTCCGTTGAGATGGTACTATACGGTGGTCACATACTTTTCAACAACATCAGAACTATTTCAAGCAAGTTCGAATGGCAATCGTTATTGGTTGCACAAAATAATGCATTAGTTGGGAAAAATATTTACGTCAGAAAATTATTCAAATTAGAAAGAAAATTAGCCTTAGACAACCATTTATTAACTTCTATCAAGAATATTCACTTAAACCTTTATTCCTTCTCTTTATTATGTAAACAAGTTTTCCCACAGTTTATGCTCAATTAATAATTATTCAATAAAATAATGAAAATAACTTACAATACTATCGAAGCAAAGCAAGACACTAGGCTGCGCGTACGCATACTGTCTTGATAAGTCGAAGCGTACGAGAAAAGCCACAATGTTTTATCAGTCATGTTACAATTATGAAACAAAGAAAAAATATACATAGAGTCTGAAATAAAAATAATAACATAAAAAATGCTGAAAATATTTGTCTTAAATAAAGGAAATGGCTATATTCACTCAGGTATACATGGCGAACCGACCATGTGCACTCAAGTGGTATAATTAAATATATATCTTTATTAAGATATAAATTGATTAATCTTTACTTTAAGCTTTTCTCTATTGAAAATCTATATTAATACTTTGATGATAATACCGTAATAATTTGATAAACTAAATCAAACAAATCAAATGAAATGAATTGATAATTTTTAGAATCAAATGGACCGATTTAATAGAATCTCATTTATAATAATAAATAAATATTATTGTATCATTAAAAAGTCTATTACACTCATTCTTCACGTCTATTGGAAAAAAATCTACACACTAGTTTTGATAGCTCTTCTTCCTCTTCTTAAAAGAATTTTACTTCATGTTCTAATTCTTCTTCTTGATTAAATTCCACTTGATCTTGTTTTACAATTTCTTCTTGTGCATAATCGAATTTTTCTTGTTCTACTGCTGGTTCTTGCTGTATATCATCAAGGAGATATATAAATAGTTCCTGTTCTATTTTTCGATTTTGCTGTTTGGAATAATTTTGTTTTTAAAGAATTTGCTTAATTTGTACAACTCTTTATGTTTGTTTGTATTGATAAAATCGGTAACAACATTGAGAAAATTTAAATGCTTCTTAAATTCATTAGTTCCGGATTGAATTATGCAAACTGTTAATAGATCTAAAGTTGGTTTTATACTATTATATCCACCATGACTACTTATAATTTTATTTTTTTGAGTTGTAACATGAGCTACTATAAGTTGCGAATCACAACTTTGTATATTATCATACTGTGCGATTTCATTTAAATAATAATCAACTGGATTTTTTAACAATTACATCAAATGATTCTCATATACGTTCATATGATATTAAAACAAAAGAATTAGAAAGAAAATATCACGTGTATTTGAATAATTCCAGTCAAATTCGTTCATAATTCCAATGAATTATTACTTGTAATATCTTGGAAGATAGAGCAAAGATTGCTCTACTGAACAGAATATTCAACCTTTTATTCCACCTTTTATTCCACCTTGAATATGGATTGTGAAACCCAAAAAAACAAAGATTCGAACTAGTCATTTTTTTGCATTTTTTTCTGCAGCATTTTTTAGAACCCAAATTCCGATGATTTTAGCTTAAAAGTACTATTTTTTTTACCCGGGCATGCACTTTTATATACCATTTGAAAGAGCTTGCAACGACGAATTAGTCGGTGTATGTGCAGGATCATTCTGTCCCATGTGCAAGCGTATGGCGAACAAATCCAAAAATGACTGAACTCTTTGATGTTGACGAATAACACATACAGAAAACCTGGTGGCGTATCAACTCGTCATCCCTTTTTCTACAGGGCTTTCGTAATCCGAAAAGCCTGTAAACTGGCTTTTAACAGAGCTTTCATAATAAAAAAATAACAGGGCTTTCGTTCCGAAAATCCTCGTTTTACAGGGATTCTGTACCGGTTTTATAGGGCCTTCGTAACACTTTTAACAGGGTTATATCCTCTCTATAAGATAGCTATTATGCGTTTTTAAAAACGGTGTGTGTGGACGCGATACTTATAACCTTTGAACCATGATAACTAGTGACCTGCGGTTTTCAGAGTTTGAAACTAAACACTGGGGGATATAAATCTATGAGAATCAGGACTTCCAATCAGCATCACCATGGTGTACAATTCGAGACAAAATTTGAAGGCTTACCATTACCAAACCACATTATGAAATCCAGTTTCAAATAATATCGGTCAATAGCCAAAATATTTCTCTTCAAAACTATGCAAGGCCCAGGTTTTCATCTCCTTTGGTTCCGGAGATAAAGACGTTTTTCGAGGACACACTTATCTTGTTTCAGACATGTCTGGGAATCTCAGAAACATGTGGATCATAGGTAATCAACCACGCTGATCAACCCGGTTTTTCGCCTGTTACCGTCAAAAAATAAAAACCGTATATTGCACTCATTTCTCGTCCAAAAAAGCTTTTTTGGACGGGGGGGGAGGGGGGCAATTCTCAGAATAGGTCATAGAATGGCCACGATTATCAGCGTGGTTGATTATCTATGATCTTCGGAACCAAAGGAGATGGAGACCTGGGCTTTGCATAGTTTTGAAGAGAAATGTTTTGGCTATTGACCGGTATTATTTGTGATCGAATTTCATAGTGTGGTTTGGGAATAGTAAGCTTTCAGATTTTGTCTCGAATGATACACCACGATAATGCAGATTGGAAGTCCTGATTCTCGTAGATTTACGTCCCCCAGTGTCTAGTTTCAAAATCTGAAAACCGCAGGTCACTAGCTATCATGGTTAAAATGTTATAAGTATCGCGCCCACACACACCGTTTTTAAAAAAGCATAATAGTCACTAAGACCACTAACAGGGCTTTCGTAACGAATGCTACTTCTTATTGTAAATCCGTATTGTCCTTTTTGTCCGTATTGTCCTTTTTGTCCTTATTGTCCTTATTATCCTTTTGGTCCGTATTGTCCTTATTGTCCTTATTGTCCGTTTTGTCCTTTTTGTCCTTACTATCCTTCTTGTCCTTACTATCCTTATTGTCCTTTTTGTCCTTTTTGTCCTTATTGTCCTTACTATCCTTCTTGTCCTTACTATCCTTCTTGTCCTTTTTGTCCTTATTGTCCTTATTGTCCTTACTATCCTTCTTGTCCTTACTATCCTTATTATCCTTA